TTGCCACGCGATCTATAAAATGATGGGATAATTCATAGAAATATTAGTGAAACAAACTTATTTTGATGTAGTTTGTGTTTTCATACACATATTTTTCTCTATTTCTTAAGTGTTCATTTTTTTTTTTATTATTATTCTGTATGTCAGTACAACTTCAACATTTTATCCATCCATCTGTCACAGGAACTGGTCTACCATGAAATGAAAATCCGAAATTTCGGACTCAATTTCGCGTTTTTGTTCGTACCGAAATCGACCCAGTAAATGGAGCTTAACATTTCGTTTATCATAAATCCTATCTTAATAGTCCAGAGTAACGATATTTTAAACGGCATATATTATGTAATTTTAACATCAAATTTCTGTTTCGTTCGTTCCCGAAATTTAGGAAAATATTTCATGGTAGGCCCTCAGGACTCAGGAACTACTAATATGTATATATATAATAGTTTACATATTGTTGGTTTATGCATATTGTATCAGCAGTTGACTGTCCAGTGCTGAACATAGTCTTCCACATAAGGGAGGATTTGCCAGTAGTTACCACACTTAGCAGGCGGGTTGGCAACCGCAGTACTACGGCCTTTGGTGATGTTTTAGATGATATGCATATTACAATATAATATAAAAAATATTATTATAATATTATAAAATATACAATTTTCTTTGCTAGGGGTGCTAAAAAAATTTAAAAGGGACCTACCAGTCCGACTAGGGTTTCATATAAAATGAATAAGTAATTAAATAGTTTGAAAATATTTTTTTATGGATTGTAGTTTTTGACTAATGATCGAAATTCTATCTTCTATAGATACTTATAATAAATCTGTAGAGAGGTCAATTCTGTACATGAAATATATTTCCAAAATAACATAAAATAAAATAAAAGTGATTGGTGATCAATACTGATGCCAAAAATGCAATCAGTAAAATTTTTGTCTGTCTGTCTACATGTTCGTCGTAGAAACAAAAACTACTCAATGGAATTTAACGAAACTTGGTACAATTATTCTTCATACTCCTGGGCAGGTTATAGTATACTTTTCATCACGCTATGATTAATAGGAGCAGAGCAGTGAAGGTAAATGTGTCTGTTACATCAAAACCACTGAACCGTGTGGAAGGACATAGGTTACTTATTTTACGAAAAACGACGGAAACGCGGACGAAGTCGCAGGCAACAGCTAGTGTGAGATAAATCCATTCATGCATCCAATAAATGTTAATATATTTATGAACCCTCAGTGTGTGAGTTCAAGTCACACCTGACCAGTTTTTTTTATGTAGAAATGAGATATTATTTTTCTAATAAATATAGATAATTGATAATATATAATATGATATCACAGATTAAAAATAAATTTAATGTAAGTTGTTTAAATCAATTTGAAATCTGATAATTATGTATGTAAATAGGTAGCTACTTAGATAATCTTATCTTATGTTCGCATATGGGGGTCAGCTAAGCCGTTGCACGTCGACCCATCGAGATCTTTTGTGCTTCCCCCTGCCTTTTACAATCATTTCATAGACAGATCATAGACTATAACCTTAACGATAGGGGAGAAAGGTATTGTTAGTAATGGACACTGAGAATCCCATTGCTAGCAATATATCCAAGCAGGTCAACCTCCTCGCGGTTCTCCCTGGAAACTATCATGGTTAATTCCTGATGAATTCATCATGATGGGCTAACTGGCCTGTTTTCATTCTCATCTATCACGATCACCCTTCACTGGTGCTCCGTCAGCGTATCCCGTTAGCGCAGGCGGGGTTACCATACCATTTTCACATATAAAAAAAAAACCTTAACAATATCCCGCGGTTTTAGATATCTGTAGTCCTCTGGTTCGGTAGCTACTTAGATAATAATAAAACATTAATTTATCTTTATCAATGCAGTTATTAGCTAATATTATTCAATTGATTTTTTTAAATTGTATTTAACTTAAAAACTATTGTTTAAATCCTGACTAATTGTGTAAATATGAAAATGAGTTTGTTTGTTACTTAATAACACCTTAACAGCTTAGTTAATCACTAAGAAATTTTATATATACATACTACACAGGACAGAGAAAGGAATTTTTTTTATACAACTTAGAATGGCAAACAAGCTGACAGCCCACCTGATGGAAAGTGGTAACCGTCGCCTATAGACATGAGCAGTACCATGGATATAACAGAGTATACTGTTTCAAGGATGGAAGGATATAGGCTACTTTTGATCTCAGTAAATTTATTTTATGGATGAAAATGGAAACCCTACTTACACTGTTGGTATAAGCTGGCAGGTTACCAGTGACAGATGGTGATGATGAAAGCAGTTAGCCCTTTGTGATGAACTCTACAAGAATTACCCATAATGGTTTCCAGGGAAAACAGCATGGAGGTTGATATGACAGAGTATATAGCTAGTGATAGAGCTGTTGAGGCCCCATTACTTAGCTGTGTGTTTATGTTTTGATCATGCTGTGTACACATATTTTTGGAGGGTTAGCTTGAACAAAACATTATTGTACTGTATAAATTAATGTAACCATGTTAATTCTCTGTAATGTGTACCTATTGAAATAAAATAAAATAAAATTACTAACAATCCCTTCCCTCCTGAGTCAGTAAACAAATCCCAGTCACAGGGAAAAAGATGCAGGTATAAGTTAGTAATAAATAAACACAATTATACTAACAGTCTTGCCAGTGTGTATCTCAATAAGAAAAATAATGAAAAATCATTCTATCTATTATAATACAATTAAATATATTTATTACAATTGTATTATAAATAGGCAATGAGAATTAAAATATGAGATAATTAAATGATATTTAGGCATCCTAAAATAAATAAAAATACTTTTTCAATATTGACAATTGATAATATTAAGGAAATTCACCTCATACTGTGTTATCTTATCCTAAAAACACTTGCATCAGACAATCATACTACTGTATGTTCATCATTTTGATTAATTTAATATTTAAAAAATGTCTATGAATTGAAATAAAAATTTAATTCATGCAACAGGCAAACAAACTGATAGCTCATCTCATGGGAAATCATTGTCATATCAGCCTTTAAGTGTCCACTGCTGAACATAAGTATAACTACTAAGGATATATAAAACTTCTAAGGAGGAGGCTCCTCCTTAGAAGTTTTGGCAGTAGTTGCTACGCTCGGCAGGTGGATTAGCAACTGAAGTTAAGCTTTAGAGATGTTTTAAGAGGGATGCTGCTGCTCATCCCTCGTACTCCCTTAATCGCCTCTTACAACATCCATGGGAAAGTAAGAAGTGGCTCATGGAAAATATTATATATAAATAAGGACAATAATATGGACATCACAAAATACATTCTGATTGACATGATACCCTAGATCTAGAATAAGTTTACTGTTGTAATCTTTTGGAGGAAACAATAAAGAGTATCTATCTACCTAACTATACCCATAGTATTTTCTCAATATATTTCCAATATTGTATATAATAAATAATTGATGATAATGATAAGCGACCATTGCAGTTCACGCATACTTGCAACATCATTGGCATAACTTACGCGTAATTTCCCAGCAATTTCACTGACATATCTCACTGGAATGCATAATGCAAATTAATAAGACATTTGGCGGCAGAGTGAAATAAAACCAGACAAGTGCGAGTGGAAATCGCAGTGGGTAATTATTATCATATTTTTATAATTCTAATGTTACGACCTATAAAATATCGAGACTTTTTATATGATACCTCACTTAGATCATAAATAATTTTATTTATCCATGTTGTTCATAAGTGCCTGATTAAGCAATAAGGTCTCATTTTGAAAAATATATACTTTTTAAATATTCAGTTTATTTTTAACTGTCATCATTATTTAATCAGTAAATTAGCAGTGCATAATATTAATATATTTTATTATCAACATATAATTTCAATAAATAAAAATAAAAATAAATATCAACAAATAACCTACAGAAATTATATGAAAATATAACAGAAAAAATATATATTTCATAATTTGTTTTTTGGGTTTACAAATATTTACTATCATCATTTTCATTGAAAATATTTTTATCCATTACTGGATATAGGCCTTCCCCAATGCCTATATACAGCAATGTAGAGTCCTCTTTTCTCATCCATCCATGCATCCTAAACATTGGTGATAGTTTAGTAAAAATTATAGTGCAACATTAACTATAGTAAAATTAACTGTACTATATTTGTAAGTATAGTTACTTTTAAAAAATATGACTATGTTATCAATACAATCTCATAATATGTATGTTACCTTCCTCATGGCACAATTTTATTTATTTATTATTATGTCTCTATTTATAATCTTTAATTGATGTACTTATTTATTACTATTGTGTACCTTAAATTATAGAAATGGTGATAACAGTGGTACATAATAGAGTTGTAAGACTTATGATTTGTTTATAATGAAAAATTGTAACTTATTTTGAATAAATAAAAGAGCAATGTTTTGATGGGGACAAGTGTAGACACTGGGAAAATTTATATAATTTATCATTTTATAACAAGTGAATTTACAATCCAATAAATAAACAATGACAATTACAAGAGAGAATGATAGGATTCAAATATGGTTTCTGTCATGATATATTATCTGATTTAATAATTTATGCATGATTCTTTAGTTAAAATATAAAACTATTAGATAGTTAGGGTACTTCAGCAACCTCTATTATTGAATACATACCAATATATTTACTACGAGGAGTAAACATCTACACATCTATTGTAGAATATTAATTATGAAAACTTTCACATAAACAATTATTAGAAATTGTTTTAAACTTTCGCAAAAACTATAACAATACATATAGAAAGGTAGCGCGCCCTAAGTAATCGCAGAAATCTAGTACAACAGCATTGAACTGCTCAGAGTCCTTGAAATCCCGGGTTCCCGATTTCTTTCAAGGGCATAACTTGTTTCTCTAAGTCATATAAGAAAAATGAACGTCCTAGGGACCGTACCTCCAGGGTCCGGATTTCGTGCTGGGTCAGCTCTGCGCTCGTAGAACATTGCGTCCTCAAACCCTCTAGTCTGTCAGCTGAAACGTCGATCATCGACTGGATAGTTTCTATCGTTTGCATTGCATCATGAGCTCTTTGTATTCCATATCCGCTCTCTGCATCCATTACAAATTATCACAGAACTTTACACAGTCCACTATTCACTACTTATATGTTAAAAAGCCTTCATTCATCTTATAAAAATGATTAAACAAAACATTGCAGATGTTGTATTGCCGATACAGCGGCCATATCCGAAGAAAATCTATATTTTTGTCTATGCTATGTTGCTGCTGCTGTCGAACCATAGTCCACTGCGAACCTTCAATTGACATTTGTCATTTATACAAAGCGTAGTTTACATTAAGAACTATTTAATCTATGATTACGAATATCATTGTAAGTATCTTTTTTACTTTTTACTATGAAGCTTAAGTAGGCTTTGAGATATAATATTAGAACTAATATTAGAGCTAAGAACAAGGAATGTTTGTTTTAAACAAATTTTAACATCAAAATATCGATAAATATCTCGAAAGTTATTGAGTCAATCATTAGACTCGGTACGACATTTAAATAGAGATTCTTAAAATTTAATGGAAAATAGAATCTACAATAAGATTTTTTATTTATCGGTGGTTTAAGATTTTTTATGTTCCATAAATTCTGTTTAGAAATAAGTTTAAGCACACTTTCATAGGAAGGCTCACATTTTGAAAAAAGAGTTAAGTTACAGAGCATTTCCGACAATCTTCGCCTAAAATAGTTGGAATATGTATGCGAAAAAGTTGATTAATTTAATTCTACATAAACATCACGCACAATTAGCTATTTATATATATATATATATATATATATATATATATATATATATATATATATATATATATATATATATATATATATATATATATATATATATATATATATATATATATCTTTATATATAATATTCTAATAATAATCTTGAAATACTGACGAATTTTTGTAATACTATAATCCGTTTATTCAATGACAGAGCTAATAGACTTAATATTAGTTTAAATGCATTTGATCTTATTCATCTACGCCAAACAGTCATAAAAGTCAAAAAGTATAGTCGTTAGTCACGAATTTCTTAATTCCATTATCATCAATTTTATCTACAACATAAAATTTTTTTGTGACCTTTAATTATATTATTTTTTATTACAAGATGATTTTATTTAAAGTCTAAGTTACATCATTGTAAACGTAAGTTCTTTACAGAGTAAGAACTGTCACATATGTCAATACTTCAATTTATTTCTAGCAACATTTCAGACGTCATTATTTTTGATTTTTTTAAATTTTATTAGTCTATGACTTTCATCAATGAAGGGGAGACGTTTGTTGTGAAAATTGTTTCCTATTATTTTGCCTTCCGTCGTTTAATTATTTTTGTGCGATGTTCTTAGTTAGATAGAAAACAAATCTTGTTACTTTACACTAGATAGAGTACGAGAAATATTTTTCTTGAGTGTCTAAATGTAGTTTTAGTAGAATGTTCCTCGAGCGTATATTGTTGACTGCGACCTGCCTCGGAATTAAAGGTAAAATATATTAATGTTTTGAAAATAAAAATATATATTACATAGGTAATTGTTCCATTATTAACAAATATTTTTAATGTGTTGGATAGTTTTCCCGCGGGCGTCTGGTGAAGAAGTGAAAATCCGGGAACACGCAGCAGACAGAGGTACTAATGTGACCATACCCTGTGGAGGTTTATTAACTCTGCCCACCCCTAACGTGCAGTGGGTGCACAGAGGTAACCGGACACATCATGAAATTCTGGTAAGTGGTTTTTAATTACATATATAAATTGTTCTATTTTTGCATGGAAATATTAATTTATAGGATGAATAGCCATCTTCTATAACAATGTTATTAATTAAGAAAAAAATATTATTATGAGACTTCTATCTAGTTAGAATCTAATAAGAATCTGATTAGAATTATTTTCTATATTTTTGTGCCTTTATATTCTTTTATACATATCTAAATACTGAATAACCATTTTACAATACTAAATTATTTTAAAAAATTATAACAAAAATATTTTTAAAGTAACTGTTGATAAATAATTTGACATCTTTATTCTTTCTCATATTATAAATATGGAAATTAATTTGTTTGTTATCTATTAGTCCTTTGAAGGCTAAATTAATTGTGAAAGGCATACTTGGAATGGAAATGGATTGGATATACACAAATTTTATAATTTATTTTTGTCAATGAGTACTACTCATATTAACGACGTCTAGTAATAGGATGCGTATATCTGGCAACATAATATTTTTAATTGTTAAAATATTGTTTTTGTTATTGTTGATAAGACATCCGGGGAACCACGAACAAAAAAATCAAGAAAATCCCGCTCAAATGTCAAGACAATGTTGTGACTAAAGGTCCCTGATGATCCCAAAACTAATAGAACATTCTCAACTACACATATATCAATCCCATTATTCTTAAATTATACTATAAATATTTTTTGTTTATGATTCATTCAATTTTCTTTTATACGTACTTTCCGGACAAACCTCGTATCTGGCAACATAATATTTTTAATTGTTAAAATATTGTTTTTGTTATTGTTGCATGTGACTAAAGGTCCCTGATGATCCCAAAACTAATAGAACATTCTCAACTCTACAATATATCAATCCCATTTCATTAAATATTAAAGTTTATCAAGAAAACATATAAATGTATGTAACTACTACACTAGCAGAAACAATGTATTTAAAAGCTGTGTAAATATAAAATGATGGAGTATAATACATTATTGTAATCACATTATTGTAAATGTGACTAAAATGATTACACTATTTGGTTTTATACAGACATAAAAAAATCAAAATTTACTCATCTATCTAGAGGGAGGGAGACTTTGTACAAAAGTTGTTTGCTTGGGTACCTCTGCCCCATTTGTGTTTCAACCGTAAAGCAGTTGTGTTTGCATGGTTGTGTTTCAGTTTGAATGGTGGGATATGATGTGAAATTACAGGGTACAGAGGAATAACACCTGAGTCCTCAGGAATGGCAACGCATGAGGGTATCATGGGCGAAACAGTATACTCTGTTATATCTATGGTACTGCTTATGTCTATAGGCAATGGTTACCACTTCCCATCAGGTGGGCTGTCACCTTGTTTGCCATTCTAAGTTGTATAAAAAAAGGTGTTAATTTTAAAAATTTGAGTTTTTAAAAATGTTTGAATTCCACACAGCCATTAAATAAAGATTGAATAACAAACTGTTACTGAATCTATATTAAATGGCTGTGCTGATTTTAATGATATTTTGTATACTACAATATCCTTGTGTTAACATAGTATCTAACTAAGGTTTCTTAAATTTTATTTTATTTCAGTGTGGTTTTGTTTGTTTTTGCTTCACTTGTAGTTAATAAGGATGAGATTTAATTTTAAAGTTGACAAAATTCTCTGTTTTTTTTTTGTGAACTTATTTTTTTAACCTTTTTAAAAAAAATAAGTAACAATAAAATGAATAGTGTCATTGGAAGTAAGAGGAGAAACAGATGTGACAGTGACTTTGTTTATACTAAAAAGATATAAATATGGATATGTTAGAGACTGGCATGTCATAGTAGTGTAATGTTTACAGGTCTTGCTAAAACATTTGTTCATATTCGGCGCCAGTTAAGATGAATACTTATTGCTTTAATTATAAACTTCAAATTTGTTTAGCTAATGACAATATTTGCACAGTTGTACTGGTTGTACCTTTATACTCATTTTGTATTAAACTATTGTTGTTCAATTTATTGATGTTTTTAATAATACTAGCTATATCCCACAGCTTTGTCTGCATAAAATAGAGAAAAAATTGGCTATAGTCTATTTGTATTTTAAACATTTAATCCATCTAGTTAGATGAATATATAAAAAACATCTAAGTATTTTACAAACTTATAAATGTCATTATACGGATTATTAATGTTTGTCTTTCCATTTCCATGATTTTAAAAATTTGCTATAATTTTTCTTCTGCAGTGACAAATTGTCTTGCATAGTGATATCTCATCCAGGTACTTAGCTTTTTTTTATACATATGTCAGTCTGTCACGATGCCAGTGCAAAACTGGCGTAATAGCCATGATCCTAGTACCCCAGAGTAGCACGGGCGTCACAGTTTCAGTTTTGATACTAAAATAGGCTTAAAGAAACCTTTTAACTTCAGCTAAATATCGATGCGGAGTTTGTACATGAAATTTATGATGATATGTTTCTAATAGGATTTAGTGAGAGAGGGTTTCCTACCAATAAACATGTTATGTAACATCACGACATATATTTAGTAGTTACACGCTCGATATCGATTTAAAACGAGTAAATTTATTATAGCTATTAAAATATTTTATGAGGTAACCTCATTGCTAATATATATACATATACAATAAGTACGATTTATACACGGTTTCCCTGGAAATCATCGCGCTTAATTAAAAAAAAAAAGCAAACTGGCCTGACTGGGGGGAAAGGGATTGTTAGCAATGGAGTTTGGCAGCCCCATTGCTAGCAATATGTCCTATCAGGTCGACCTCCACGTGGTTCCCCCTGGAAACCATCGTGAACAATTCTCGTTGAATTCGTCACGATAGGCTAACTGACCTGCTTCATCCTCACCTATCATCCTTCACTGGTGCCCCGCCGGTGTATACCGATAGCGCGGGTGGAGTTACTATTTCATTATCTATCACCCATAAAAAAAACTGGTCTGACTTCTTAACTATTTTAACTCATTAATACCTCGCCGTCGATAGCGCAGGCGGAGTTACTATTCCATTGTCGTTGTATAAAAGAATTGGTGACCATTTTCTATTAGGTGATCCGTCAGCTTAGAGGGAGAAGAGATTGTTAGTAATGAGAATTAGCAACCTCGTTTCTAGTAATACACTCTGTCAGGACGACCTCCACGCGGTTCTCCTTTCAAAACCATCGTGATTGATTTATTGTTGAATTCGTCACTGGGCCAATTGACCTGCTTCATCCTCACCTATCATCCATCACTGGTGCCTCGCTAGTATATACCGATAACACAGGCGGGGTTACCATTCCATTATCATCCATTAAAAAAAAAAAGAGCCGTCAGCTTGTACGCCAAACTGAGTTGTACCCAAATGACCAAACTGTGGGGAAAGGGGATCGAGCAGCCCATTGTTAGCAATTTACGCTATCAGATCGATCTCCACGTGGTTCCCCCTTAGTCTATTCGTCACGATGAGTCAATTGATCTGCTTCCAAGGTTGGTTGGTTGGTTGCCTGGAAGAAATCGCTTTTAGTGATAAGGTCATCCATTTGTTTTCTCACTGTGATTATTTCTTATAATTTGTTTGTATCCATAATGAGTTTTCTATTGTAATCTTTTGGAGGAAACAATAAAGAATATCTATCTATCTATCCATCCACACTTATCTTCTCTCACTAGTGCCACGCCAGCGTATACCAGTAGCGCATAGGTGAGCCTGCTATTTCTATCAGCTTGTTCTCCATTCCGAGTCGCATATGAAAGTGATCACACCGAGCATCAGTTACCTTGTTTGAAAATTGGCCTGTTCGTTACAAGAAGTGTCGGTCGTCGCCCCTCGAGCCGCTGAGATCCATTCGGTACGAGTGGTCAGCGAGCCAAATAAATAATCGCTCTATTTACTGGCGGTGTCGACTAACTAATATGACCTTGCAAATAAAATGAACTATAAGGGCGGGCGCGCACGTGCGGCATGTTTGGAGAGGATTAAATTCTGGCTTTTTTATGACAGGGAGCAAATGAGCATACGGCTCACCTGAGGGTAAATAAATTCTGCCCCTCATAAGAAATCTCAACATTAAAAGAGTTGCAGGTGTGTTGTCGGCCTTTTAGTGAGGAATATGAACAGGCACTCTTTTGACGGACAGTACATATACACGCTAAGGTCTGTCCCATGTCTGGGCAGGCCCTTTATATTACTTGTATTGCTTGGTAGCTTGGTTATATAACGTTTTACTTTAATCTGTACTTTGTGTTTCTATGTTCAAGTTTTAACTTGATCCTTAAAATATCCAGAGTTTTTTTATGCAACTTAAAATAGTAAACAAGTGCCATGGACATAATAGAATATACTATTTCGCCCATGATACCCCCATGCGTTGCTATTCCTGAGGACTCAGGTGTTATTCCTCTGTACCCTGTAAATTCACGCCATATCCCACCCTTCAAACCGAAACAGCCATGCAAACACAACTGCTTTACGGTAGAACGATAAAAGCGAGTTAGTTTCGCATATTGTAACGAATTCATACCAAAATTAGCCGCAATACTTTCCAGGGGGATTTGCTTGGGTGTCGATCATCAGATATACCCATATAATCCGTTCTACCCCCAACCCCCACCCACCCTTTTTTTTTTTAATTCTAGTATAAATTAATTTAAATTAAATTATTTTAAATATTATTATTGTTTAATTAATCACCGAAATCGCTCAACAAGTTTTAATAAAATTTTGTTAATATGTACAATTAGTTCCAACTTGAGAAATAAGATAGTTTTATCCCGATAACGAAATATGGGACCTTTACATATTTTCTTATTTCACCCTTGCCACGATAGGTGGCAAAAATTGTTTGTCGGATTAGCTAGTAATGACATCATGACTGTTAAAAAAAACTCCAGTTATTTTTATCAGTCAAGATGTTTCCCGAATAAAATATAAATGTTAAAAAATTAACGCTATTTTAAACCATAAACGCCATAACCAAAAATTTCATTGAGTTGACGTGTGGCGGTCCTCC